ATTACTATTTTTCGTTTCAATCTATTTTATTTACCATTTGGTTTAGCCAAAGTAAAGAAATTGAATAGCCATAGGACAAGTTAGTAGTTACTTTTTCTTGATATTGAGTTAAAAAAAAAAAAAAATTATTATTAAGAAGACGATGTGGAGGAAAGGACTGCTGATATGAAAAGAACTTCCATTTTCTGTTTTCATTATTGTTCGAGCTCGAATTTCTTCTTCTTCATTTGTTTCGTTCTATTAGGGACCGAATGCATTCAACGTGCGCAGATATGCAAACTTCCGAACTCCGAACTCCGAACTTTTTCTTTTCGACAATCATGCACATAATGTTACAGATATATAGAGTTGTCTAAAACGTCTAAAAGGTGTTCAAATCCTCGGCTACATGTGGCTTGCAATTTTGCCAGCAAGTCTAAGTGCCGAAGAGTCTTGCTGGACTATGTCATTCTCATATATTTTAAAGAGGGCTATAATAATATGACACGTCATACTTATGTAATGAAATTTTTCTGATTTCAAATCTTCGTAGTATCCTGTCTATAAATATTAGATGAAGTCATAAATAACATTCGATATAGTTAGGTAGAATCTATTGTTTGTATTTACCAACTGAAACAAACGAGTTTTTGTTTTCAAATATATAGACGAGGATTCAATTAGTCTTCCGCCAACTGTTTTATGAAGTGCAAGTTACATGTTCAGCTGTCCTTCTTAACCTCTGAAAGGGAGAGTCAAAAACTGCATAATCGACTTGTGATGCCTTGAGAATTCAAACAAGGCATTAGCGCTAAGGCGACAGCTGAAAAAATATGCAGCGAATAGGGTGAAAAAGTGATAACTGGTCGAGCAGTCAGTCTGTAAATTTCCATTCTGCAGATATGATCTTAAAAGACGAAGAACGCAGGACGGTATTTTCTTCCGACTTTGACGACAACTTTTTAAAGGCGATATTGACGCGAAATCCACGCCAACCAACAAGAGGTATAGCAAAAAGGTTTGGTGCGTCACAATCAACTTTTAAATGTCTGCCGAAAAACTGGAGCTACTTATGACTCAGTAAGTGATGTGGGATAAGTAGCGATAGTGGAGAATAATACCATAAATCTCGTTAAGCAGAAACTAAAGAAGTATTTTGAAGGGACCCAATCGGGTTCATTTAGAATTTGTAGCTAAGTGCTCATATTAAAAGCAAATATTCCAGGAAAGTGCGAAGAAGCGCAATGAAAACCTTCCAATAATCTTTAGGGTATGATTTAACATAACATATAGCTCAATAAAATTGTGGGATATATATATTTATATAATATTTTGTTTAGATGTTGGTACGATCTGAAAGTCATCTGGATTCATCAATAGTCATCATACGTTTGTGTATATGTCATTGTATGAGCTTATTGGATGATGTGTTATATATGTGTCTTTGGGGGCCATTTCAAAGGACAGCTATTTGGATGGATATGAGGTTTTTAGCAAGAAACAATCTGACAACGTGAGCAAGTTAACTTAACACCTTAAGCAATTCAAATGCATATTCCCTTAAGGGATTTTCACACACACACACACACACACAAGCAGGTTTTACAAGCCGAACCAGAAAACCGCATACATTGTGTACACGATTCTTTAATGGTGCATGTAACATGAATTTGGTTTCGAACCGATATCTGTGTTTCCACACATTGCGCCACCTAGAGTACAAAGTATACTAAGTTTATATGATTGTAATATAACATCCAAAAGGATTCAAGGTAGACCTATTTCTGATATAGAGTATCTTAAAATTCTGCGGAGATAGGTAATGCCCCGAAGGACTTAATATAGGCCCACCGTCAATTCAGAATCATATTCCGAATCGGTTTAAGCTTCTCTGTTCCTCTGTCCACCTGATTTATTTTCTTGTAGGGGATATTGTGTTTGATGATGTATTTTCGTTCGAAGACGAACTGCACTGAAAATGGATTGAATGGAATCGCTTTTGCCTTGGACCTCTTTAGATACAAAAACCATATTTTCGCAAATTCATTATGTAAAAGAAAAGGGAAATTTCTAAAATTCTTCGTTAAGCAAGATCGCTAAGCAATAATATTTCGGCAAATTATTTTTGTAATCCCCCCCACCATTCCTACGAATTTGGGTTGGGAGTCGATTGCCTCTCTTCCACCCTATGAGAATAGGTTGCTTCTGTTATCCTTACCGTTACTGGAGAAACGTAGATTTGTTGTTCTTGGGGTACAATTGATTCGCCCGCATTACTTTATGAGATAGGCTTTAATGTCCCTAACCGCTTCTCTAGGCACTTTATCTTGATAAAGCTTAGTTAATGCAAATATAATTACGAACTGTTTAACCCGCTCAGAGTTGTTTGCAAGAACCTAAACGATGTCTATCACTTATTCTCATTAACGGACTCTTTAAAGTCTATGTCGTACTTGAACTAACTTTTAACCTTGAAAAGTTATTATAAGTCGAAGGTTAATTGTTGTTAACTATTATCGGTTGCCAGGCTTATGCATGTTTGCGATGGCTTAGGGGTTCACTTGCAATTTGTTCCTGTACCGGTTGTGGGCGTGGCTCTATGCTAGTTGTGTACATGCTTTTTTTCTTCTTCTTATTTGTTTTATTGTACTTATACTAAGTTTTAATATTAATTAATTTAAGATTTACTTTAAGAGTCAATTAAACTCGACTGCCATGTTGTTCTAGTTGAGTTTCTTGTATAAGTGGAATAAATAAATAAATAAAAACTAAACCATCACAGGTCTAATATTCTATGTGTCATGTTTCGTATTGGTCCATAACGACAGTTTGACATACATATTAACTGTTTTAAATTTGCACCGTATAGTTCTGCTTTATGGGCTCCATCATCTCACGCAAGTTTTTTCATGCAAAGTAAATCTTTACACGCCGAAGACGCCTAAGAAAAAAAAAAAAAAAAAAATTGTTAAATTTGGTGTCACGTCAGTTCGTGTTTTGTCTGTCTATTTCTTATTTATATTTATAGATATGTTTATTAATTTATTCTGAGCGAATCGCTGCCTCTGTCAACCTTTATCTGCAGATTCCGATCAGAATTGCATGTCCTTAGCCATTGGATAGTCACAGTCGGACGTTTAGCAGCAGATAACTCTTATTAGAATGATTTAGAACCTCACGTCAGTCGAGCACATTTATACTTATGCATAATCTCTCGCATATATTGCTGAGGGACTTGTAAAAGAGGTTTTCCTCTGTAAAAATTAGTAAAAATCAAACGATTTTGATAGTTAAGATTGTCTTCACTGCTCTAGTGTTTCAATCCAATCAATTCATATTCATGCATATTCATCTTGTTCGGTGCTTTTTAACTATACAAATATTATCGGATTTAATACTTTTTAGACTTCTTATTATTATATGCAGTCCTAATGATTTGATTGATTCCATTCATATTCATATGCACTCACGTTGTGCACGTTGTTTATTAACCTCATAAATATTATATTATTGGGCGTAATACTTTTTAGACTAGACTTCAATTGATTCCATTCATATTCACATGCACTCACGTTGTTCGGTGCTTATTGGCATTATTAATATTATTAAGCTAAATATTTAGCTTCGAGTTTAGTTCGAGTATTTTTTATATACCGCCCTAGTGATTCAATTTAATCAATTCATATTCACACACAGTCATATTGCACGTTGCTCATTAACGTTATTAATATTTTTGGGATCAATACTTTTTAGACTGCCTATTAGATATACACACTTTACGTGATAACTAGTACCCAAAACCTTAACAGCGAATCTTCCTTCACCTACGTTATGTGTTAATTTCACACCCGAGGGTATATTTAGAAAAAAAGAAAAAAAAAACACACAAATGCCAAAATAACCGTACAACTAGACGTATACGAAATTATTTTACGTATACACATTGTATTTGATACAATATATGCCAGCACAACATATGTATGCATGCATACGAAAATTTAATGGTATTTGAGGCGCATTGACATTGACTCTGAAAATATCAGCAGATATATTTAAGGTACAGAAAGTACAAAAGACAAGCGGAGAGGTGAGATGCTGAGAGGAAATTAAAATGGAATAAAAAAAATAAAAAAAAACACAGTAAGTACGCAAAGATAAGACCTTGTACTTGTTGGAAGAGACTATAACACACGATGACATTGACAGTAAGTAAAGCTTTTATGGTTAATGTTATTGTCGTTGTTGTTGTTATTGTTTTTTTTTTTTTTGTTTTGTATTATAGCTGTTGATATTATTATTTTGGGAAACTTGACCTGCTTTTTATTTTTTTTTTTCTTATTTTTTTTTTGCTTTTTGTTTTTCTCTTTGAATTAACCAGAGTCATGAAGAGAGCGAAAGAAAGAAAGAGAGAGCAAGAGAAGAGCTTTCTTGCGGATTATCTCCGTATTTCTCTTGCATGCTTGCTTTCTATCATTTATAGATTTAGTGAATATATATAGATATATATAGATATATAATATAACATATGTGTGTATATATGTTATATATATATACGCTCTTCGTACGAAAATTGTACGAAAAATAAATTAGAAGCAATTGCTAAGCAGCAGAAAACATTTTGAAACGAGTTGCCCAACCGTACGGATATACTAGTCCGGGGACAAAATGTTAGGAAAAGAAAATTTTTCTCCTTTTTTTCTTTTCTGTTTTTTTTAATGTAAATTTTAAAAAAGTAAAATAAAACAGATAAAAACCTCCCCCCCCCAAAAAAAAAACAAATATAATAAAATAAAGTTCTTGTTTTTATCGTATAAAAAATAATTTTAAAATATTACGAAATAAAAATATAAGTGATTTTATTTAAAACAAAAAAAAAAAAAACTACGCACTTTACAGTTAATGTTTTGAAAGAACTAAAAATTTATAGTAAAAAAAAAAAATAAATAAATAAATAAAAAAAAAAAATTTTTATTTCTTTTTTCTTTTTTTTTTGGAAGAACAGAAAAATCTATATATGAAGAGAATGTATGTAAACATATGTTACGAATAAAAAGAAAAAAAATGTGAAATTAGAAAAAAAGGAAAAAGTAAAAGTACAAGAGAGCAACAACAAAGACGGTTAGACAAACACAAAGTAAAGTTAAGTAGATGTCGCGAAATGTTGAAATAAATAAATAAATAAAAAAAAAAATTTTAAGAAAAAAAAGTTCCTAAAAGCTATTAATGATAATGATGATGATGATAATGACGAAAAAAAGAGCAGAGCAGCAATAACGATACATTAATAATATAACCTATGCTCGCATATATAAAAACTCGATTAACTGTTGCTTTTTTCCCTCTTATGATGTTAGCGAACAGCAGCAATCAAACGTCGATAGTGTTAATAATGCATAAGTAAATATGTGCGTTTAACGTCAACACATATTACTTTTTACACATGTGTATGTTTACATCTACACATCGTAAACCTTATCTCAAAGTAAAATTAATTCCCAAAAACAAAAGCTCATTTTGTTGTGAGCGCAATCGTTTTAACTTAAGCCCAACGATTAGTTTAATGTGCGTCTTTATAAGAAATCATTAGACAAAAACAACAACAAAAAAAAAAAAAAGAAAAGAAAAACTACTTCAAGTGTTTTAACTTTAACTCGTATAATAGTTAATGACTCCTTTCTTCTTTTTTTTTTTTTCTTCTATAAACATATGTATATATGTATATATGCACATACAGCATATGCGTATGTTTACATTGGTAGTGTCGTTTAACCCAACATTTTCACTTATAATATACACAGTAAAATTTTGTTAAAATTTTAATATTCAATATAAGTTGTGTGCGTGTATCGCTCTCCTTTTCACCTTCTCTCTCTGTATTTGTTTATTTTTGAAGTCTCTCTTAATTTTAATGAATGGTCTTCAACTGTGATATAATGTGCGTATCGATTTACTTAAAACAATAGCAACAACAAAAACCGAAAATAAATATAAACAACAAAAACCTAAAAGAAGGCTACAGAAACGGTAGGTGTTTCCTGTGTTTGGATGATAATTGCAAATTGAAAGGTTATAAATTAATTAATTAAAAAAAATACAAATATAATTAACTGAGACCCTTTCTCTTTTTTCTAATTTCGCTGTTTGCCTTTTCTACTCCTTATTTTTTTCCTTTCAGCACTCTTGCCTCTCTTATTTTAACGTCTGCTTCCTCGCCTTCTATTTATTTATTTTTTTTATTACCCATCATTCCCATGACTGTACCTTCTCTTTCTTTCTTTTACCTTCATTTCGCTATTTCGCTATTTCGCTATGCATTTCCTGCCTTTTCTTTTTCTTTGTTTCCTTTTTCCTGTCCTTCCTTTCTTCTCCTTTTCTGACATTAATTCATTCCTTTCCCTTTTTTGGCTTTTTCTTGTCTTTCCTTTTATTTTGTTTTTAACAATAATTCCCTTTTCTTTTTTATCTTTTTCTACGCTCCCTTTTCCTTTCAATTCGCCTCCTGACGTAAACTTCTTTCGCTTTCTTATTTTTTCTATGCTTCGCTTCTTTCTTCTTCTTTATTTCCATCCCAATGTTCTGAGCTTCCTTTTCTTTCCCCTTCCTTCATTACGTTTTTCCTTTTTCCAGTTTTTTCTTTGCTTTGCTTCCATCCCATCCGACGAAATGGTCGAAGGTAACTTAATGGTCGTGGGTTCGATTCTCAAATGCGGTAAAGTTTTTAATAAAAGCTATAGCCTTAGATGTTAATCTAGGCTTTAAGCCTTTAGTCTTCGAAATTATTTCTCTTATTTAGCTTCCTTTCCCTCTTTAGGTATCTCTCTGCTTCCCTTTCTTATATCTCATTGTTTTCGCCCTTCTTTTCTTCTATTGTTTCTATCATTCACCTAAGTTGCTTCTCTGCATTGCTTTGTCTTCCCTTTATTCAAATTATCATTCTTAATGCTTTCCTTTTTTATCTTTCTCTTTACTTGGTTTTTGTTTTTATCTTCTTCTCCTTTTCTTACCTTTCTTCTGCGTCTCTTTTTTCAGATTTTTTTCCTTTAGGTTCTTTACCTTTCTTTTATTTCCCATACTTTCTTACGTTTTTCTTTGTTTCTTTTTCCGTTGGCCTTTCGTTTCTTTCCTTCTTTTAATTTTGTCATTTTCTCTATTATTCATTTCTGGTTTTTAGTCTCTTTGCATTTCACTTTTTTTTTCATTTTGTTTTCATTCCTTTCTTGACTTTTCTTTTCTTTGCTTCTGTTTTTTTCTTTTCATATCTTGTGCTTTCTTTAGCTCCTTCATTCTTTTTTCTTAGTTCTCCCCATTTTTTATATTTTCTTTCTTCATTTTTTGTTTTATCTTCTTTCTTTTCTTGTGCTTTCATTTTTTCCTCATCCTATCCTTTTTTTTACTTTTCTTGTTTCGTCTTTCTACCTTAGGTTCAGTTTTTTGCTTTCCTTTTTCCGAAGAATCTTTTCTTCCGATAAGCTGTTGACTCGTTATCTAAGGTTAAAGGGACGTTTTAAACGATATTTTTTGCCGGTGAATTACCCAAGCGTTGCCTCAGGGCTAAAATCCCTTTCAAAGAGCCTTTTCTTCTGACAAAATTGCCGACGCAGTACCTGTGGACTAAAACCACCCGTAAAAGCCCTTTAGTCCCGATAAATTGCTGACGCACTATCTGTGTGCGTTCAAACAAACAATCCTTCCTTTTGATAAATTGCTGACGAACTGCCTCTAGACTAAAAATCCCTTTAGAGGTCTTGTATTTCTAATAAAAAATTTGATGTCTGAACTAGAACCCCCTTTGAAAGACCTATATTTCGGAAACCTTGCTGATGCTCTTCCAGAGGAGTAAAATTTCTTGCAAACTAGCTTTTCTTCTGATAAATTGCTTACGCACCACCTCTGCACTAGAAATTCCTTTAAAGCCCTTTTATTTCCGATTAAAAGTTGAAACACGGCCTGAGGGCTAAAATATCTTTTAAAAAGACTTTGCTTCTGATAACTTGCTGACGCATCGCCTGGGTACTAAAATCCGTTTAAAAGCCTTCTACTTGTTGGGGCACTGCCTGAGAGTGCAAATCTCTTTTAAAAAACCTTTGCTTCCGATCGATTGCTCATGCATTACCTGAAAACGCAAACCTCTTTCAAAAGATTTTCAATTGTGAAAATTTTACTGACCCAAGAAGAAGAAAATTAGGCAAACATGAAGCCTGCTAAGTCCCTTTATTAACTAAGACTAACAGTTCTTATAGAATATTTTTAATCAAATATTTGAAACGATAGCCTGCTATTCTCTAAAATAGCTGGACTTTCTTTTCCTTAAAAGCTTTCTATTAAAAAAGAGAAGAAAAGATTTAATTCGCATTTTATTGAATTATTATTAGACCGAGTGTTCAAGTGGATAATTCTTGAAATAATTACTTATTTACTTTTGCACCTTTTTGATGCCTGTGCACAAGTGCACACTTTTTTACGTTCGCATGCAGCAACAACAATAAAATTATGACCATTAGCAGGATTTAAAAATAGTTGAAAATCATTTACGTTGTGTAAAGTGTGTTAAACAAGAAAGAGAATGAAAGACCAAAGGACTCTCTCGGTTAAGCAGAATTTCCCTAAGAGTTGTGACCGAAAGGTGGAAAAAAATTAAAAAATGCCTCAAAAAAATATATAGTCACAGAGTACAGAGTAGTAACACAAATATTTCAATTCACTTACTTTTTTATCCGTTTACATACATATATATATATATATTATTTATTTAATTTAAGAAAAAAAAAAAAAAAAAAGAGAAAAAAAATGTTTTGTTAAATATTTATTCAACGATATTATTGTGGGTCTTTCTTTTCACTCGACTGATCTGCTTACGTAGGCAAGCAATGCTTAGAATGCGAAAAGACCTTTAACAATTACGTTTAGCGCTTAATTCCGCTTTAAAGAACATCTTAAGCATTTTTCTTATTTTGTCACTATTTTAACATTGCTTAGCCAGAGCTTGCAAGTGTAAATGACAGTTAGTCAGTTAGTTGTTTTCGCTCATTCATCATTTCAATTCGTTTATATATAATATATATGTATGTAATATATATATATATATATATATATATATATATATATATATATATGTATGCACGTACGTACGTATGTATGTAGGTTGGAAACAGCGTTACCTAAAATGCGCACGATGACCCTTTAAAGCTGTTTCTTGAGATTGCCTATAATAGCATGCTATTCCCCGACACCAGATAAATTTCGCATAGTCTTTGCTACTTATGAGTCCCAATCATATAGAAAAAAAAAAAAAACAGATTAAGGATGACTGACTGTAAACTCTGGCTCTAGAAAATTATTCAGTGGTTGGCTCATTGTGCTTGCGTTTGTTATTTACACACTCGGAAAAACATTACTGGCACTCACTCGTAAAACTGTTGTTGACCTTGAGCAAATCTTTCGCTATTATTTACTTGATATCAACTGCAATTTTAAAATTTTTTCACATTTTCATACAGTTTTTTTTTCTTTTTTGTTTTTATCTCCTCTTCTAGATTAATTTTTTTTTTTTTTTTTTTTTTTTTTTGTTAGCAAAGCGAGCAAGCAAGCAAACAAGTACAGTATGTGACCGACCCATCACAATTGTTAATTAAATTTATTTTTATACACTTAACTAGATTTTTCAAGAAAATATGCTTCTGGAATCATTCTACCCTTTACATATGTATATATGTATTTTTGGTTAGGGTAAGACAATTGGTTAAGTTAGCCATGTCTGTCCGTCTGTTCCTTTATTGATGATAAGTTTAACTAGGTTCTCAGCAGATATTAATTCAAGTTAATCTGAAATCTGATACAAACAGTCGAGAATGCCATTTAAAACTTCAGTATATGTATAGCTCTGAAAAATTGCACCCTTAGGGTGCGTAAAACTTCTTGCTTATTTTTAGCTTTTTTAAACTATAAACTCTTAACTGTTAGGTTTTAAAAATTTTAACCGTAAATAAAACTAACATTAACTAGCATCAAATTAGGTCATAAGTTAGGTTAGGCTAGGTTAGGTTGGTTTGGCACAGTCCTTACGCTAGTTTTGCCCACATTTAAATTGTTAGAAACATTAAAAATAAATAAGGGTAAGAAAAAAATTTAATGGGGTTGACATTAACAACATTTGCATCGCCTGCTTCTGGTCAAACGTAGAGTGTAATACCGCAGAACGTAATAAGCGGTCAGGAGTGTCCATAAGTTAGATGGGGACTCCCGACCGCATGTCGCGGAAGGCTCAAAAGCTTAAGGATGGCGAGACTGTTTCTCCGTCCTTGAATATTCTTGAATGGGCGTATAATATGAGCCCTATTTTGCTTATATGTGGGCATCTTCAGACCAAATGTTGTACGAATATAGAAGAGATTGGAGAAACTATTGTAAGATACACTCAGTTTGTTGTTTCGCATCTCAGCTCTTAGATCGGATATTAGTCGGTCTGGCAAAAAGTGGTCTTAATCTGCAACCTCGCGGTATTTTGCAAAGGTTACAACCTGTCGACGCTATATCAATCATAAGCCTTTTTCCTCGCATAACCCCAATAACTACATCGTTTTTCGAACGTAAGTAAGTCCGTTTTCTCCCCGTTGTCTGCAAAGACTGCATTTTTCCCCCTAGGACATCAATCTTTTCCTTCTTCAAGGTAGACCAGATTTCTTAGATAATAAAGGCAGTCCACCCATGGTAACAACGACTCCTTTGATAGCCGATTGTATGATAGTTAGCCGTAAGAAGAACTAGGAGTGTGAAATTAAAGCAGGAAAGCACTGAATCGTACGTGTTTACGGCGCAAAGTCACAGAGTCGTTCATTGAAGTATTATTGTTAAGATTTGTTAATATTAAAGCCGCCGCACATTTCCTGCATTGTTTCCGTTATACTATGTTCTCTTAATATTCGCAAGAAAAGAAAAAGGGTATGCATTAAATATGATCCTGGAGAGGTAAGAATGTCTACCATATTATTAGTATATAGTCTCTAAATCTAATTAAGAAAGAAGGT